TCATTGTAAGTGCCCTACTCTGCTCATGGAAACAGAGTATCGTAAATGCCCCCAACAACATAAGATAAATGAGAGACGCTTTAATCATTGAAGTCCATTATTCAAGTTTATTGACAATAAATTCATACTGCCCTTCATTTCTTCATTCTAGGAATAATGTTAATTGGCTTAAAATGAAAGTACAACATTTTATATTAAATAAAACACCATGAAATCAACATTAGCATGAAAATATCCTAAAAGCAAGAATGAGAATATGTCCTAAAAACACTAAGAAAAGGAGTAGATAAAACAACAGCAACAGCTTAATGGGGAAAAAAAAACACCCAACATCGCTAGCAGGATTATTGTTGGGGCTTCAAAGAAAGACATAATTAGTACTCCAGAGTAGCTTGCACTTCTCAACGACCTTCCCTCATCCTGCCTGGCAGGCCATATGGAAAACCACTTTTGAAATCAAGTGTACCTTCCAAAACAGTTCTTGATATGGGTATGGCAGTTTCCTGTTCAGCATCAGAAATCCCCTCGGGTACACCCAAAGTCCTTGGGGCATCACGAAGTAGCGCTCAGTCCTGGCCTAAATATATCTTAGGACTCTATACCAAATACTTCTTGTGTATCTGTGTTGTCATCTCTCTCTCTCTCTCTTTTTTAAAGCCTCCATGAACTGCTTGTGAGCAACTACTGTACAGTACAGTATGCAGCAACCTTGTGAAACTTTCTGCTACAACTTCCCCCCCCTCCACCTACTGTATATATTACCATCTGCCATTCCTACACAAAGACACCCTCTTCCACAGATTCATACCATGTCTCTCAGGCTTCCCAGATGCCAGATGTGGCAGAACATCCAACTCCTAAAATACTCTCATGGTACTGATCATACAGTTGTGCTTGGGCTCCAGTCCCAGCTAGGGAGCAGTGGGTCGCTAAAGGTTCAGAGCTGTACGAACAGGTGTTAGGATGGTGGCAGAACATAAGATCAGCTAGAAATATAAGCATGACAGGCTATGAAGCAAAGCCAACTTGGGTCTAGATGGAATCTGGGAATGGCCACATACTCAGGCTATTTTATTCTGTATGAGCATGAGGCCAACATCAAGGCCACTGTAAAATAACCCTACTAAATACTGCAATGCTATATTTAGAAATGTCTCCCTTCCCTCTTCAATAAGGTACAACTTTTTTAGATAAAACAGACAAATGTGTCAATTGTCCACATTACAAAAAGAGTGAAGTAACTTATTCTCAAGTCTATTTCTGGGTGCGCTACTTGCACTGAAAGGAACTAACATATTCCTATGGGGAAAAGAGAAATGGATTGCTATCCTGCATGCATTATGAACAACAGGATGATGGATCTCACTCCTAGATTCAGTCTTAAGCCTGGATGGCTAGATATTAGCAGTGGCCAGGAGCACATTTAAAGTGAGTGCATCACCTGTTCTGGAGATGTCTGATTTAACTACGGTGCCTTAGTTATATCTCACTCCGATTACTATATGGCACTCTACACAGGGCTGCCTTGGAAAGATGTTCAGAAATGTCAGTTTGTTCAAAACATTACAGCAAGACAGCTGGCCCAAGCTAGTTACAGGGAATGTACAACTCCCTTTTTACATCAGCTTCACTGGATAACACCTCCTTACCAAAGATAATTCAAAGTGCTGGTTATGATCTATAAAGTCCTAAAGGGCTTGGGTCTAGCTGCCTATCTGAAAGAATGCAGTCTTCACACACAAGCTTGCCCAGAATTTGGCATCAACGAGAAACATTATTCTCTCTGTTTCATCATGTTCTGAGGCTTCTTTGGGGAGGATGTGAGAGAGGGCCTTCTCTTCAGTTGCTCCTAGGATCTGGAAGTTTCTTTCAAGGAAGGGTATGATGCCCCCACCTTTGCTGTACTTCCACTGGCCAGCTTAAACCATTTTTCTTTTTGTATTAAAATTGACAGCCTCATGGTAAGAAGTCTTAGGCTAGGCGTCCTGAGTTTCTTTTAATGTAAATTGTAAGTTGTCTTTAAATAAAGATGTTTCAAAGTGTTTATACTTTAATTGTGCTTTTGTATTTTGATAGGTTTAATTACGGTACAGTACAGTGGTGCCTCGCAAGACGATTACCCCGCATAACGACGAATCCACATGACGACGGGTGCCTCGCAAGACGATTACCCCGCATAACAACGAATCCACATGACGGGGCCATTGCGCTTCGCAAAACAGTGTTTCCTATGGGGGAATTTCGCTATGCGCCGTTTCGGTCCGAGGACGATTCTAACAGCTGATCGGCGGCTCTGCAAAATGGCTCCCTAGAGTGTTTTCGGGATCGATGCTTCTCAAGAGAGTGATTTAAAATGCCTTCCCTATGGGTGATCTTCACACAACGACAACTACAGCTGATTGGCGGCTCCGCAAAATGGCTTCCCTAGGTTGTTTTCGGACCAATGCTTCTCAAGACAGCAATTTTAAAGGGCTTACCTATGGGCGATTTTCGCTGGACGACGACTATTTTCCCCATTGGAACGCATTAAACGGGTTTCAATGCATTCCAATGGGGAAATGCTTTCCGCAATCCGATGATTTTGCTAAACAGCGATTTCAATGGAACGCATTATCATTGTCTTCCGGGGCACCACTGTATTTGCATTTTTTAGTGATACTGCTTTTCAATTATGTTGTAAGTCACCTTAGATGCCAGTCTTGGGAGTATATAAAGAAAATAAAGAAAAGGGGGTAAAAACAAGCTGATGATTGACCAGTTTATACTCAGAAATGGAGAGTCTATTTAACTATCCTGCTCAGTAGCTGCCAAAAGCCTTCCTTTTAAAAGGCCACCACTACATTTTTTTAAAGTTAATTTTTTACCCTATCTTTCCTCTGATAAACCCATTAGGTAGGCTCTACTAAGAGAGTGGTGCAAGGTCATTAAGTGAGGTTCATGGCTCAATGGGGGTATAACTCTGATGTCACAAGTCTCAGTAAGACACTCTTAAACCCTAAACGTCAATGGCTGCAATTCATAAATTAAGGATGAGTCAGATGTTGAAGAAATAGTGCTTGCTCACTGCCTAAAATGACCAATTCCAAGCAAAGTTAAGACTCCCCAAAAATGATTTACAGAAGCAAAGTCCAAGAAATAGTAGGTCTTGTCCACTCTTTGGCAGAGAGAAAGGTAAGGCAGAGGAATCGTACATCCTACAGGATTCACAGGAGCAAGGAACTAAGTCAGTGGTCAGAGTGCATACGTTCAAATTTCCCAGCGTAAGATATACTTAATTACTGAAGAGACTACACAACTTGAGATTAAATACTGCAGGGTTTCATGGCTTCCACTCTAGATGAACTCAGGGACTCATGCCACAACTTGGAACTAAGCTGGACTGGATCTGGCCTGTTTTTGGATTTGAGACCTCAGGAAACCTTGTGCCTGAAATTCTAATACTGAAGAAGCCGATAGCCATGAAATTCTGTTAGTCTTAAAGATGCCATAATCCTTTTCTTTGTTTATGTTACTACTGAAATAGTTGTTGAAACAAACTAACACACCTACCTCTCTGAAACCTGTCACTAAAGAAAGAAAGCTACACCTCAATAACAACCTTCTACCTAATTATTACTGACTGATAAGCAGTGGAGAACAAGTCTACTCCATACTCTGCTTTCCACACCCTTATTATCAATGTAAATTCAATGTAAAGTGAAAGTCATTTCCTTTTCCCAAGGATTTAAAAGCTTAACAAATATTTTTAATGTGTCCTGGTATTTCCTTTAATTCTGCTGATTATGTTTATACTGTGAGGTTTTGAGATGTTTGTGTGTATTTGTTTTGACCTAATGTTGGCATTTGCTCACTACTGGAAGACATTGTTGAGGCGAAGGCCATAAATTATCTAAACAATCTAAAACTCTAATAATTGTAACCCCAAGCCGCCAATCTCCCTGATGGACCTGAGCAAATTAAAGACACTTTTTACTTTTTTTATCTTTAATTAGATTTTTAACCACCACCACCCCCAGACAAGGTCTACTCAGCTTACATACATAGATGTTAACTTTGGGAAAACTATATTTTTCAATTAATCCTCTTTTCCACCTCATATGTCTGAAGAAGTGGGTAAAGATCCATAAAAGCTTATATTAAAATATAGGTTTATAGTATCACAACGTTTTCATCTTTTGATTTTTAATTTGCCTGATATTTTTCAACTCCGTGTCTCAAAAAGTTCCCGAACAGCAAGTCACTGGCTGTGCTTATTGGGCAATTCTAGGACTCACAGTCCAAAATGTTACTTATCCAGTCTCTGATAAAATGTAAGGAGAAAGTAATTCTGTCCATGCTCAGAGACACATTTTTCCCATGCCTTCACTCTAGCACTGCCTGGCTAGATCATAAAGCCATCTAAGTTGAGCACCATTCTTGCCTACGTGCTCCTGGCAAGTTCACAAGCAGCGCTGTGACTCTTGCAGCAACAGGTGCATATACTGTCCCCTGAATAGGGCAGCTCTAGATTGGCATCAAGGTTAATTATCTACTGGCAAGGTGTCACCTTCATTAGTTGGTCTTTAACACAGCCTAAACTAGTGCCCATCAACAGACCTTGTGACAGCAAGTTTAACACGGTGGCTATCAAGTGAATTGATACAAATATTAAAAAAAACTTTTTTCTTCTGTTGTCCCAACAAGCAAACCCAGAGACCTTTGGGTAGAGTGGGCGGCATGTAAGTTAAATAAATATAAGTTAAATACAGTAAATAAACGTCGAGGACAGGGTGTTTATTTTTCTTTAGAAAATACTGTAAAGTGGAGCCAGCCTTCCGCATAAAACTCTCAAGACAACCGTGCACCTAACAAGAATGACATGAGGCGGAGGCTGGCTCTGAGCCCTTTAAACTGCCAGTAGTGAGCCACTCTGCACATGGTCAAGAGCCACTGCTGTCCTTTCCGAGCCACCCTGTAGACTGAAAAGGGATAACTGCCCCCATCCTCCCCGACTCACTTACCCCGCTCCTCCCTCAGCGACAGGACGGAGGCCGTGTAGTGAGCCAGGTCGAAAACCGGGAACATGGACAACCGGGAGAACCGAAGGGGCAACTGCCCCAGAATTTGCTCCATCGCGGCGGCGCCTGACGCGCATGCGCCGAGCGGAAAGGTGGCTGGCTGAACGCAGAGAACTAAAGACAGGAGCCGAGGCGAAGGGGGCGGGGCTAACGGGGATTCTCCGCCCTCGCGCTTCCCGGCCATTGGCTCCTCCCCTCTGGAAGCGTGTAGGGGCGCCCCGCCCCCCGCAAAGGGTGGATCTCCTGTATGTATACAACCTGCTAAGGATAGGAAAAGAGCGCAAACTGTTAGACGCGGAACAAGAACGCTGCCTTGGACCCAAATCCGATTGGCTGGACTCCCAAGCGGTGGGCGGGGCAAGAAGAAATAAGCGAGGAGCGCGTCTGTGTGGGTGCTGTTGTTTGTTTACATGGGTGGCTAGGTGGAGGAGGGCGTTAGGGAGTGAACTATCGCTACTTCTGAGTTCCGTGGAGTGTCATTGGAAAACTTCCTAATTTGATAGAGAGGTTGAGCCGGAACTGTTGTTGTTACCCAACCTTCTGACCCATGGCGATTTCATGAAGGAGGGATCTCCAAAATGCCCTTCTCCTCAACAGCCTTGCGCAGCTCTTGTAGATTCAAGCTTGTGGCTTCCTTTAGGGAGTCCGTCCATTTAGTATTTGGTCTTTCTCTTCTACCTTCCACCTTTCCCAGCATTATTGTCTTTTTCCAGCAAGTCCTGCCTTCTTAAGATGCGCCCAAAGCAGGGGAGCGTCAACTTCAACATTTTTGCCTCCAGAGGTAGTTCATCTAGAACCCACTTGTCTGCCTTTCTGGCAATCTTGGTTATCGCAGAACCAAGGATAACTGTTGATGAAAGCTAGAATTCTTTTTCCTTTAATAAAGTGCACTATGACGGAAATATTTCGTTTGTGCATAGAAGTCAGATATGGAATCTTCCCTTCAATTCACTGGAGGTACTGGGACCCATTAATGCATTCCACTACCCATTTTTTTTAAAAGGAATAATAAACATTGAACTATTCAGCTTTTTGAGTGCCTTAGATAAAAATAGGAGTTTTAAGTTACACAGAAAAATCACACAACTGCAACTAGACTGCTGAACAGTTTTCTTGAGAATAACAGTGAAAGTTGTATTCGCGAAGGCTTTCACGGCCGGGATCTAATGGTTGTTGTGGGTTTTTCGGGCTTCTTGGCCGTGTTCTGAAAGTGGTTCTTCCTACTTTCAGAACACGGCCAAGAAGCCCGAAAAACCCACAACAACCAACAGTGAAAGTTGTCAGCCAAATAAAGTTGGAAACTATTCCGTTAGAAGGAGTTTCAACTAGAGAATCTATTGTACCTAATTTCAGTTATTTTGGCTGTAATAACAATATGCATGTAATTAGTAGTAGTCATAGTACTGATAATAACTTACTATTGCCAGTCTTTTGGAAAGTAGTAGAAAAGCAACAGCCATCAAAGGCATGTAAAATTTAATAAAACCAAGGATGACATGGAATACAGCGACTTCAGTCACAAGGATGGAATGAATCACGAGGAATAAGCAATTTATTTTTATTTTGGACCACCTGTTATTTGGACTTCATTGATTAACAGTATTGTTTGCTGATAAAGATTTCTCTTTTTTTAATGATTGCGCTACATCTTCAGAGAGAAAATATCAGCTTTCCTCTCTGTTATAGCTCAATCATCCAAATTCACTTTGGATAGAAGTATCAAAAGGGGATGGCAGTGTAAAGGAGTGGATAACAAAAACATCCCTGTTCATCAGGGGAGTCTAAACGACAGGCTTCTAACTCAAGTGACTCATGCCTCCTTGTGTAAGGAGGGTAGTATTTCGCTCCACCCGTTTGTCTGAAGCAGATCTGTTTCACTGAATTGTTTTGCCCTTGGTTTTTACATATTTTATTTTATAAAATTGTATACAGATTTGCTGGCTGTTCCTTTTCTGTTCTCTTCCAGAATAATAGTAATAATAGGAATAATAATGCTAAATTGAACTGGCAAGTAAACATGCAGAGCACTAGATCAGTGTTTCTTAACCTGGGTGATATCACCCCCCCCAAGAGGCAATTTCATTTTTCGGGGGGCGATGAAACGAAAAGGGGCGACGTGGGGGCAAAGGAACAGAAGGGGGCGATGGAGCTGCCACCATTGAGGAAGTTATCGCCCCTGCCTGTGCCGCCAGATCCAGAGCAGCTGGTGCTGGCAGTGGATGTGGTGACGCCGGCGCCATTTAGGAAGTTATCATTGCCCCCCCCGCCATCGCAAAACAACACTGTGCAATACTCTACACGTGCTTCTCAGACGTGACAGACTTTAAGTGGGGCTCGATCCCAGTTGTATAATTTTTTTTTCATTTTTTTTAAAGAATGCACTTTTGCTGTTCTCTGTCCAAAAACCCTTTCCTGTCAAGTATGTATTTATGAAACCAAAATGCAAGATCAGGATCCAGGCACAAAATCACTGCTTTTCAAAAAAAGAAGAAGAAAGGAACAGAATGGTTAGTATTGTTTTATTATAATGTGAACTCACCAAATGTGAGCAATTGATAAGTGTATGAATAGGATGAGACCTCTCTATTTTGGTCACTTTTAATAATATTACAGTACGAAGCTTCCGAGCAAGGTGTGAGTCACACTGAATTCAATATACATTACTTACTAAACTTGTTATGTGCCGTCACATTGCCCCTATGTTATGGTGACTCCACTCATCTGCAATTAGAAGTACAGTAGGGTTGCTCTCAGCTTCACGACAAACTCACTACACTATAACTGTCATTTACACATTTATTGTTGAAGCCTAACAGTGCAAAAAAGTCATCAATGTATTAGAATCTCAAAGATCATGTCTTTTCCTGACATATTAAGAGGACAAAACTATTCTCCAGGGTTTGGTTTTGTTTTGTTTGAGCAAACCTTTTCTCCCCTATTTTCTTGTTTGTTAAAATTAACGGTAACAAAATAAAGAGCAAACACTATCATGTTAAACATAATTTTAAAATATGTCATCTCTGTTTTGTAAACTGATGATCAACAATGCATTTTTGTAAGCACCTAATTTTCAAACACGTAGCCCTGTTAGCCTGTTTCAGTGTAACTAAAAAAGAAAAATGTCTTGTGGCACCTCTAGGACTAACAGTCAGTGCATCACTAAATTATATTCTACAGTCTTTTATGGTAGACTGTGGAGAATCAGCCTGTAATTAACCAATTCCCTCTTTAAAAAAAAAAAAGCAATAGCAACTACAGTTCTTTCGTCTCCTCTTTCAGTATAAAAACTGTTGTATACCTGTTCCTTATGTTTCGAATGGTATCTTGTAGCACCTCTAGGACTAACAGTCAGTGCATCATTAAATTACATTCTACAGTTTCAAGGTGGGTGATTGTTCTTGATACTCCACTGAAGTTAGATCTTTATATATGCGAAGTTTCCAGCAAAGGTTTCAGAAAAGGAATCTTGCATAATCTTGATGGAGGATGATTCACAACAGTCAAATTCTTTAACTATCCACTGCAAGGAATCATAATTTGTGGGATAATATAGAGCTCCATTCAGGCAAGTCCCTCAACGCATTATGACAGATTGGGGAGGGAGAGCCAAAAAAGGAGCAATTTACTGTATTTGAATTTTTGTACTTGAAGTGGAGCTTTAATGAACATTTTTTCCCATTTGAAATGTTCTTATCTACATCATGATAGTTGCTTTGAATCTCTTGGGCCACTCTATGCAGACCATATGCAAGGCATGTGATATAGATTCGAGATGAGGGTATTTGTATTTGTATACGAATATCACTGCACAGGTGGCGATAACGAGTGTCCAGCCCCATGGGGCTGGATTGATACACTCACCAATCAGCCGCGGAGGCCGCAATTCTTCTACACGAATACTCCCATCTCTAATGATTCCTTTTGATTCCAGAGGGTCCCAGCAGTATGAGGTACTCAGTATTTTGGATTCTCAAGTATTGTGTAGGCTTGAAGTATTGTGCAGTTCTGCTTCGTATCCACTGGGAGGCATCAAACTCCTGTCTAGGAAATGTACAAATCAGTCTGCTTTCTACTCTTCGCAGATTGCTTCGTGGAGGGAGAAATAACAGCAAAGAGGAAAGGAGTCGACATCCATTGGATCAGATCTGGTCTGCACATAAAAATTGCATCAGGTCCTTGTTGATCCTATGAACGTGTGATTAATGTGATTAATAGTTTGCTCTCATTTAAAAAAAAACTGACACCTCCCACACACGCACCCATTTGCAAAAAAAAGAGAGGAGGTATTCTATACTTCAGTGGGTAGTCAATTCCAGTCACTCTCGGATGAAACAGAGTTTAAAGACTGATTTTAATCCATGTGCAAGCCTGATTTTGAAATCAGTACAGCCTTGGGTGCTGTGTGGGATCATTTTTCATAAATTTGTTGGGGCTGTCATTCAGCAGTGCTCACATACATTTAAAAACATCATCAGTTTTATCTGTGAAGATTCCCAGTCATCCAGGTGAGGTTATCTGGAAGTTGAGTCATGGCAACTGGGCTTCTATCTTGTTAAGGTTGAAACGTTTCGCTACTCATCCAAGTAGCTTCTTCAGTCTTAGATTTAAGGGAAACTGTGGAAACTGTTTTATTTGATTCTGACTCGTCAGAGCATTCAGAGGAATCCAAAAGCTTTATATTCTGCCATTTGCATGAATAATGAAACTCTGAACACTTTTGGTTTCTTTTTTGTTTTGTTTTGTTTTGTTTCTTACCAAAAGTAACCACTCACTCTCCTAGTTTCCCTTCTTTTCTTTCTTTTCTCGTTCAGAGGTCATAATTCTAGAAAGAGAGAGACACTGACAGGTGTGAGAATTGGCAGTAAGTCCTCATAAAATGGTTCAAAATTTTGAGTTGTGATTGTTCATAATGGCTTGAGGATTTCCAACCTGAGGAAATGTGTTGCCAAATCTCTTTTGTGACTCCCTTTTTCCCCCTTTTCTGCTCTCTTCTCAGTATATCGGTGCACAGCCTGATGAAGACTAGTATAGGTTAAAAGGTATTGTGTAAGAACCACACTGCTTTTCTTCTTGTTGTTTTCTGAACTATGGAGGATACTCTGAATAGACACCAGA